GCTTGAGCAGGTTCCTGGCATCAGTAGCCTTCAGCCTGGCCCCTGATTCCAGCCTGTGGTTGTCAATGGCTTAGGTGAGCCATTGACCAGATTGTTGGTCGGCACTTGCATAAATAAGTGTACCTCCCACTAGTCTGTAGGATTTCAGGTGTGGTAGTTCTCCCTTTGGAGTCCTACATAACACCTCCCCCAGTGCTTCCAGAATGGAATTCTGGTCATCTTCGGTAAGCTTATTCTCAGGATAAGTTTCCTTGAAGATAGCTACCTTTATGTTGGTCAGAGCCTCCTTGTAAGTCCCTGGTCCTTTTCAGAGTTATGGCCGTTTCTGTAGGGGTACTGCCCTCTGACCTTGGTCTCTTAAAAGGTACCGGTGGGGGTTTCTCCCTGCTTGGATGATCCTGCATTTCCTGGTTGCTGACTGCCCCAGGTTCCTGCTATGCTTGCCCCAGCTCTTGCCTTTTTCAACTTCCGTCTGGCGTATCCAGACAAGGCTTTTTTTGCTAGATGGAGTCCACCTACTCCAGCGACTAGGTATTCCATTCTTCTCCTACTGCAGGTATGCTAGAGGTACTAGCCCCCTGTAGTGGTATGTCAGTACTACTGACTCCCAATAGAGTTTTTGGTTTTGCCTCATGTAGGTTCCGGACCACTGGTTCGCCCATGCCTTTGGCTGAAAATTCAACAGCAGGTTCGCTGGCTGCACCTGGGTCCCTTAATGGGTCACCAGAGCTTCCAGTCCCTTGCTGAAGCATTTCTCGTAGGGATCCCCTTGGAGGGAGTACATCTTCAGTTTAAGGTCCTTATGACCGGTTTTTTTGTTATTCCTTTCATTTTGGTCCCACGAGTTTTGGGGATTAAAAAGGTCACCACCCGCAGCACCCCATGTGGGTGGAAGGCATAAATACAGGGTGATTCATATAGAACCGGCCCGACGAAATGAGCTGTAATATAAAATATACCATACAGATATTAAAGTAATTTACACATATCTTATCTTGGATTGTGTGCCATGATCAGATCAGGTGTTGAAATTGTCTGCCGTTTTCAAGTAGGCATGCCTCCACCCGCGTTTGCATATTCGCCCTGACTCGCTGCAGTGTTTCTTCAGTGATGTTCCTGATTTCAGCCGAAATGTTGTCCTTTAAATCCTGCAACATACACGGTTTGTTTGCATATACCCTGTCCTTCAGTAAACCCCAGAGAAAAAAATCCGGGCTGGTAAGGTCGGGGGATTTTGGGGGCCACATCTTTTTAGAGATGACGCGATTGAGAGAGAAGCTCTCAATCAGTTCCATGGACATGTTGGACGTGTGGCACATCACTGAATCCTGCTGAAAATAACCCTGTGTAAGTTCCACATCATCCAGCTGCTGCACGAAATCGTAAAAAATACAGCAGTATAAGGTGCTGTTCACGGTCGTGTCGAAGAAGATCAGTCCAATGATTCATAAACCAGAAATGGCACACCACGCACACCCACTTTTTTTGGGAGTAATGGTGATTAAGCAATCTCATGTGGTTTTTCAGACACCCAGATCCTGGAATTTTGTGTTTACATATCCTGATAGGTGGAACCATGCTTCATCACTAAACCAAGTGATGTCCAAAATTCTGGGGTTATCGTGCACGAATTCTCGAAACCATAAACAGTACCTTACCCGTTTATCTTTATCAACATCACCCAATTCCTGAACACTGGTGATCTTGTAGGGACGAAGGTTCACTTTCTTTGCAGCCTGTTGACACGTTGAATAAGAATACCTGGTGTCCTGGCTTAGATGTAATGCTTTCTTGGGAGACTGCAGTAACCTGTCCCGCACAATTGCAATCGTTTCTTCTGGCATTTCTGGGCGGTTTTTACCATGTTCACTTAAAAGTGTCCCTGTCCTTTCCAAATTCTGAGCCAAGGACTGTATAGTCGATTTTGCTGGTTTCTTGTGAGCTCCAAACTTCCTCCTGAATTCCAGTTGTGTCTTTGCAATCGAGCCTGTCACCCAGTACGTGCGCACAACAAGAAACACTCAGTATTCAACAGTGTACTCCATGACTGTCGCCTGTGCACTGCAGACACGTTTCAGGATTGTCCTTGACCTTGCAGCATAAGGGCTGCCACTTGCCAGATCATGCGCACACCATTCGACACCACGGATTATTTTGTCGTAATTGTGAGCGGTTATATGCATCACCTGCGGAATTATTAGTGAATTCATTGGGGCCGGTTCTATACGATTCACCCTGTACAACGGGGTGCTGCCAGGTGCCCTGCAGGGATCGTTCCAAGACACTGGCTAATTACCACCCCAGTGCCATGCAGCCCTCAGCATGATGCCTCACACCTTGGCTTAGGTGGTTTGGTCCTGTTGTGAATGAAACCCTCACAAGCCTCCAGGACCAAGAGTGCCTGTTCGGGGGGAGGGAGGTATCCCAGGTGATTAATGGGAGTGTGACACCAGTTAGTCATGACTTGCGACCAGGGCAACCTACATGAGAAAGTCACCCCTGGGGGTAGCTTATGAGCTCCCCCATTCCCACCCCTCCACATGGGTTGGTCAAACCATTTTAGAGTGTTGAGCCCTAAGGCTTGCGGCACCTTATCGGTAATCTAGGGAGACAACTGAAATAGCCAAAGCTACCCCCATAGGAGTGCTCTCCCACATTTGTCCCGGGTACACCATAGTGAAACACAAGAGTCATTATGTCACCATGTGGGAGACTCTGGTCATAAAGCCATCGCCCTTTATGGGAACTTAGCCGCCATCCCAGAATGGGGCTGTTGTTGCCTGGTGGCACCACGAGGAGGTGTCCCAACGCATCCCTGGTCCATGATGCGTCCCCACCAAAGACAGCTGTGGTTCGGCCAACCTCACCGAGGATGATGTCATTACCACCTGTAACATGTGATATAAAAATGTCACAGTTACCCTGGGATCACCACCTTGGGGATGATAAGTAATGGGTGTGATGCCTTGTAGTTTTGTACATAGGCAGCTATAACCAAACTAGATGGCATTGTACCCCAAGAGACCATATTCTTGATATTGTTGTCAGATTCTCAAATCTTGCTAATTAATGAGAATGGCAGATATGCTGCAGGAATTTAGGATGAGATAAATTTGGGATGATACTTAATCTTGACGGTGAATGGTATTTTATAGGATAGAATACTTACGAGGAAAACTAAAGGCAGGTAAGGCAGTAATTTAAAATATCATGTTTTGTACTTTGGAGCACATCATTTTAAGGAGAAAACAGGATAATATTGGCAGTGAAAATATATGTTTGGAGTAAATTGGCAATAATATTATTGAAAGACAGAATTCCAAATAATGTAATTATGTGGGGAAAAAATGAGCGTACAAAAAATACTTTTTAGATGATGTAAAAACTAAATAGTTAACACACATGAGAAAAATTAATGGACATGTGACAAAATAAGTACTGAAGTGGATACCATCAGTTAGGAGGAAGAAGGGAAGCCCCAGAATTAGATGAATGAAAGAAGTCTCTGATGGAGTGGCAGAGAAAGGACTTGGGAACACAGAAGATATCCAGAAAATAATGATTGGAAGCTGAAAGACCTGAATATTTACAGAGTAGCATAAAATTTGCATGTCACTGAGAATGTCACTGTCAGATCACAGTAATGCTTTTTTCTTTCCTAGTTAGTTATGAATTCAGCATTAAAAATTGAAGATAAAGTGGTGTTTGTTATAATATGTGGAAGGCTAGATGCTCCAAATTGACCAGTGCTAATGACCTGTTCTTCAGTATTATATCTCAGCATCCTGTTGCACTCTACACGATAAATGATGCAAATTCCGTCCCAAGTGCAGACAATATATATTATATGTCTTTGAGCTTGTTCTCTTCTACACTACATGTTTCGGCCTCTATCGGCTATCATCAGGTGTATACTCTTAACGTTGCTGCCACACTGAAACCCAGTCTAAAATTGAACATTTAAAAAACACATTGTTATTTTCTTCGTATTATCAACATCTACCTCGTTGATATGTGTCTGGTATTACTACAGGAATATTTGACATGTGCAATATAATCTACATACCAGACACATATCAGCGAGGTAGATGTTGATAATACGAAGAAAATAACAATGTGTTTTTTAAATGTTCAATTTTAGACTGGGTTTCAGTGTGGCAGCAACGTTAAGAGTATACACCTGATGATGGCCGATAGAGGCCGAAACATGTAGTGTAGAAGAGAACAAGATCAAAGACATATAATATATATTGTTTGCACTTGGGATGGAATTTGCATCATTGACCTGTTCTTATTTCTCTGTAGATGTTAGATGGCTTCAGAATTAATAAAATGGTGGAGAATATAGTTAATTTTGATGTACTGAAGACCATGTGCTTCAAATTGAGCAGTTGCTGCTAAATTTAATAAACAAAATGCAGATATCTTCACACAGTTAGGTGACCACACTAGAAGATTTGTCCTATGGTGTGCAGCCTTTGCACTACTCTATGTATGTGTTTGTGTATGCTTGTGTTCACATACATATATCTTCATATAAACTCAGATTTTATTAAAGATTTCAAATGAACAAGTTCAAATCTTATTGGTACATAAGTTCTTTGTCATGTAACTCTTCCTGTGCCATGAGCTATTTTAAGCAGTGTGTAAATATGTCCACAAGGGAACAAAGTAAAGTTTATAAAGTAACTGTAGTCTTTGTCTCAGCTGCAAATTTTGCTGAACCTATGACTTTGTAGTTTAAACCATATAGGTGAATAGACAGGCATACAAACTGAAACATTTTGTTATATGTTATCTTCAATCATCAAACACACAGTAAGCATGAACATGTACATGTATTCTTTATTGCACTGAGACACTCTGTACACATGAAAGGCATATTTAGTGTATGGTCCTCATGAATGAATTTTTGTTATTAAAAGGTATCCTTATGTTTACACACTTGCCTGATTTATTGCAGAACTTCATTATTTTAATTTGGGCTCTATTTCTTTCAGTTGACACAAATCTGAGCACCCCATTGAATTTGCTAACAGAATCTCGTGTCCCTACAATTTCTAAAGTGATTGAAAAAGCCAAAGGCCAGCGTCAAGTATATGCAACAAAAGGACCAATAACTGACAGCCAACTGATGCCAATTCTGTACTTTCTCTTCCCAGATGCTGAGGATGAACCAGTAATTACTCATAATAGCATAATTTTACTTAGAATTGTTATTAACTTTACTTGTCAAGGATTAATGATTTTAAATTTCCCAGTACTGTGGAATTGTTGGGTATATTTTAATTTTGGGGTGATAATTGACACGGTAAAGTAGTTGGTTGAGTAACTGTGCTACAAGCCAGAAGGTCATGGGTTTGATTCCAGATAAGGTCATTGGATTTTTCAGTTGATGCAATCCTTCAAGCTGCACTATGGCCCTTGGATTGACTCAGCCTCTAACAGAAATAATTGTCAGGAATCTTCCTGGGAGTAAAGGGTGGATGGTGCGTAAGGCTGATTACCTGACCACCATTCTAGAGCCCTGCGGGTCTCCATGACCACTTTCCTTTTACCTTAATTTATCATCTGAGAGTAGGAGGAGACTCTAAATCTCCTGGTTCTGCAGGGCTGATGGCCATATTGTTACTCAGGGGTATTGGTATTATTGTTGAATAAAGAAACAAATGGTTAGCTGGGTTGCATATGTACTCTGTCATGGTAATGCAATGTGTGGCCAATGAAGGTTAATGTATATTCTGAATTATAGAAATGTTTTAGCTCTGGTTTTATACATATATATATTTTTTTCCCTGCAGGAGAATCCTTATATGGAACCATTAAGCAACTATGCCAGCTGTGATAATCAGCAGTTGGAGGTAGGACCTTATTATATTAGACCATGCTTAACAGATGCATGTATTTTTAAATCTCTGTTTATGTAATGAAAAATGTTTGTCTGTTTGCTTTTCATTTGTACATTTCCATGCCATTGCATCTATCTTGATCAAATTTGCATAATGGTAGAGGACCTCTCAAATTCTTGTGTCTCTCATGTTTTTATTACTGGCTGTAGGAAGTTAAAAAGTGGGACATCAGGTGGTATCATTGCATGAAAATTGGTTCAGAAGTTGAAATGGCGGGACACCCAGGCAATTTGCTGATCTCATATGCCTATTTTTTCCCCTAAGAGAGAAAGGTGTGATAAAAATTAAGATAATATAAGATGTTTAGCTCATTATTTGAAATATTTTTGTCATGGCAAAGGAAGACATCTTCATGTCTTCATGTAGTATAATATCTCTGCTATTGATTAAGGTCATAAATGGAATAAATGACTTTAAGATTTTTGTCTATGCATGAGCACCGAAATCTGTTTGATAGTATTTTTTGTAAGTTTGTAATTTATTGATTTGATAGTATTTTTTTGTAAGTTAGTAATTTAATGATTTGATAGTATTGTAACATGTTGCGTTACTGAATACGCTGTAGAGATCGTTAATTGGTTTATTGAACAATCTACAAATATCGGCTACAATTAATTATCACAATGTTACGGGTTTCCACACTTTACAAACCCTACAACAAAATCTCTTAACACTATCTTCCAGAGTCTTCACGTATTAATAGCGCTGGAGCTATACAAGTCTCGCTGAATTACACACTCCAAATATAACTGGTTATCACGAACTATCACTGATTCTCCCACACGCGTCTGTAGCTCGTAACTTGCGAACTGAGAACTCGTTGATAACACACTGACTCGTAGGCTTGCTCGGAACTAACTCGTAGGTAGCTCGAGGACTAACTGTGAATAGCCTTCGCTGCTCCTTATGTAGCCTCGTTCGGACAATACAGAAAACGGCCACGTAATAGGCACCCTGTTATCTGGTGCCGTCGTGCTGGTAACGCTGTGTACTGCTGTTACTACCGTCGTCGTCTCGCAACCACTGTTTACCCGCGCTGCCTAGCAACAGCGGTGCACCTTGGTGACGTCACCACTGTTGACTCGCGTTGCATAGCTACCAGGTTGCGGGGACTCGGCTAACTTCGGCTGGTGAGGGGAGGGGGAGGGGCGTCATCCATAGCTCAACATGTCACACTATTGTTGTAAGTTAGTAATTTAATGATTTGATAGTATTTTTTGTAAGTTAGTAATTTAATGATTTGATATTATTTTTTGTAAGTTAGTAATTAAATGATTTGATAGTATTTTTTTAAGTTAGTTATTTAATGATTTGATAGTATTTTTTTTAAATTAGTTATTTAATGATGCTGTTAATATTGGGACTGCACACTGCCAATTATAGGATGATTAATGAATGTGGCACATCTGGTGGAATGAAAATTGGCAGGAGAAACTGAAATATTCAGAGAAATCGCACCCCACTGCCACTTTATCCACCATAAATCCAACATGACTTGACCTGGAATTGAGCCTAGGCTGTTTCAGTTGAAAACTGTGACTAACCGCCTTAACTGTGGCACAGCCACTTCATAGTAATGATGTTTGTACTTTTCTTAGTTGAATTGTGACCATGCTGAATATCAACGAGAAAATGTTGACTAATGAAGGATGTGGATTTGTACATGAAACACTCAGACAGCCATATAGAAAGTCTCTGATACAGGATGTGTGGTTGCAAGTCAGTGATATGAATGATAGTTAGAAGTTGCATGTTGCTTAAAAATAATAGCTCCTATTTTTTTTTACCCTATAGTGGGAAAAGATATTTGAATGAAACAGAGGTGGGTACTTTTCTTGAACTCTGTTCTATGATTTTACAGTGTTACTTTTTAGCATAATCACCTATACTGTCCACACGCTTCTGGAAATATTCAGGTATTTTTTTTTTGTAAGTTCGTAGTGATAGAACTCTGTTGACAGAACAATATCTTCACCACTCTCTTGACTTCATCTGACAAGAAGTGGCAGTGATGGTGGTGTTGTTTGTGATGACACATTTACTGCCAGGTATGTAAGTCACTGGGTGAAGTCTTGGCAAAACAGAGTAACATAAGCATTTAAATTGAAAAAAAAATTTTTGTAATGCTTTCATTATGTATTGACATATTAGTGAGGAAATTATATAAAGGTAAATGAGGAAGAATGGGCCTGATTCATGAGCACAGTGCTATGAAGACACCTGAAGGTGTAGTGGTAAAGCTTTATGCATTCCTGACCTCAGCTCTAGGTGGAGGTGAGTGATCTTCATGCTTTGGACACTTGTACTCCATTGGACAGAGCCTCAAGTGCCCTGTCAGCAGAAAGATGGGAAAGATTCTTGCTCCTACCAGAAATTTAACCATAGGTACATGACCAGGGATTGGTTTGTACTGTACTGACACAGAGTATTGCTGATTCAGGGCGATAAATGTAATTGTAAATGTCAGATTGAGATTTTCATGGCATATTATCCTTATCCCAAAAAACTGCAAGTAATCTTCATAATTGCAAATGCATTGTGACTGCAGGAATTGTCAACTGGGTTGAAATCTGCTCCAGTGGATGGACTCATATGGAGATTGGCTGTAGTGATGTCTCATGTAGTTCATGCCCTGGGGGACATTAGAGCAGCTGCTCACCTCTGGTATGAGTTCACTCAGGAAATGAGATACCGTTGGGAAAATGGAATCACCATTCCAGGGTAAGTAGAATCAGCACTATATCATATCCAGGAAGCCTTGTATAGGGTCCACTATGTCAGTGCTCCTCAACCGCCGGGCCGTGGCCCAGTAGTGGGCCTTGGCATCAATCATACTGGGCCGCAGGAGCTTCTTCTGGAATTTGTAATTTTCATTTTCTAAGCATTTTTCATGAATAAATATTTTATAGCGGAAATATTCTGAGGAGAATAATATTTGTGTCGAGAAGCTCAGACACAGAACACCTAAATCTGTGTAGCAAATGTCAGTGATCAAGCCGCATATTTTTAAACATGGAAGTATTCATGAAAGATCGGGAATTTGATAACTAATTTAAATGTAACTTTATGTTTGTCAACATGCTACACCGTATACATAAGTGTACTAATACTCTTTATGATTATGCTATAATTAATTACTAATATTACGTTAGCTTAATGCATGAACTTTAACAAAACTGGAAAGGTATTTACGAGTAAATTTGTTGGGACTGGACCCTTGTCTTATAAAAAAAGAACTTACTGGGCTGCGGTCTCATAAAGGTTGAGAAGCACTGCACTATGTTACAGACATTGGGTTAGAAAATTTTGTCCTTATGGAAACTTATGATCAATATTAATTATTGTTTGAACATAAAATGCAAACCAGCAAATTCAGCCCAGACAGTTTCTTCTTTAAGAAATTATTTGCTAAGAAATTCAGATTACGTTGTATATTTCTAGTTTTGCAGAAAATATTGTTAAGTCTCCAAACATAATTTTTCATGAGAAGAAGGAACAGCTTCAAGGGTTTATCCAGTAATATATTTAACTTGGTATTCCATTATATCACTGAATGGAAAGTTTTGTGTATAAAATCATTAGAGTTATAACTGGGGTCTTATGTGGTCCATTTAATTTTGTGATTTACTTATCTCATTATGATGAATTTTGGCTTCACCCTCTTTTCCTTTGCACACTTATACATGCAGTGATGTAGGGTGATGTCTAGTAGTGTTGTAGCTGTTCCCAGTTGTTGCATGCCTTGTCCCCAGACTCAGAGAGTCAATAAATGATACAAACTCCGTCTTAAGTGCAAACAATATATATTTATATGTCTTTGATCTTGTTCTTTCTACACTACATGTTTCGGCCTCTATCGGCCATCATCAGGTGTATACTCTTAACGTTGCTGCCACACTGAACCCAGTCTAAAACTTAACATTTAAAAACACAATGTCACATTCTTCGTATTATCAACATCTACATCGTTGATATGTGTCTGGTATGTAGATTATGTTTCACACGTCGCACCCGATATTCTTGTAGTAGCACTCTAAAAATCTTTAGTTATGATGTTTTTAAAACCTTTTAAATTTTCTACAAAAGGTTTTAAAAACATCATAACTAAAGATTTTTAGAGTGCTACTACAAGAATATCGGGTTTGACGTGTGCAACATAATCTACATACCAGACACATATCAACGATGTAGATGTTGATAATACGAAGAATGTGACATTGTGTTTTTAAATGTTAAGTTTTAGACTGGGTTCAGTGCGGCAGCGACGTTAAGAGTATACACCTGATGATGGCCGATAGAGGCCGAAACATGAAGTGTAGAAAGAACAAGATCAAAGACATATAAATATATATTGTTTGCACTTAAGACGGAGTTTGTATCATTTATCGTGTAGAGTGCAACAGGATGCTTAAATATAATATTGTAATCAGAGAGTCAAGCTTGCTTGAGGGGACTGGGCTCCTGGAAGCTATGCGATATAGCCTATATTGGCTGGTGGGACATCTGGGTCGTGTAGTATGTAGCAGGATTAATGAAAAGCCAACAGGCCCACAGGTTGCACTTGATGTACATGCCCTGCTTATGGAAGTACTGATGATACAGTACTGATTGTAGATGCTGGAGGCAGTGTCAGAATCTGGCGAAGCATGAAGCACAGCATAAAATATTCTGGCTTGATGAATGCTTCAACATGGACGTTAAATTAAACAATTGCAATAGGATGCTGAAATACAGAATTAGAATGACCAAGGCAGGGAGGATAAGATGGGCAGGGCATGTAGCACAAATATAGGAGAGGAATGCATCGGTGGGAAAGCCAGAGGGGAAGAGACCACTAAGAAGACCAAGATGTAGTTGGAAGGTTTAGTATTAAGATGGATCCTAGAGAGATATAATAGGATGTTATGGATTGGGTGGGTGTGGCTCAGAATAGGGACCAGTGGAGGGCTCATGTGAACATGGTAATGAACCTTCAGGTTCCATAAATTCCTGGGAAGTTCTTAAGTGGCTTCTCAAGGGGGTCTCAGCTCCATGAATGAGTGTTAGGTATGTGATCTGTAAAGTTTTCTTTTTAATGAGGTGTACCTTCATGATGATGGTATTGTAAAGCCAAAATATCTTACAGAAACAACATAAGCAATAAATAAGAAGTACTTAGGTGGTGACTTGCATCTTAATTTCAGAAGAATGAATGCAAACACTTGTCACTTGTCACATTTGATTTTTTACTGGTCATGGATGATCAAATGACTGGATTCTTTCTGATACTACATGTTCATTGTTTTGACATCAAGTGAGACCAAAGAGACAGACCTAAGATGGGCTGATCTCTTTCTCAGGGGCAGTGGGCTGGAATGTCTGAAAAGCTGGTGTGGATGATGCAGGACATTGTGGACAGGAATGTAAACAAGAAGTCTGGGAAGAACTAATTGTCTGCTTTCCTTTCACAAAAAATTGTGTATCTGATATGACAGCACAGTCATCCTTGGTTCTGTGCCCTGTGGGACTCATAACCAAATTTCTCTGTCTTATGACCCTGCGGTTTCATGAGACTGACTTGTCCCATTGGTCCACATTTCATATCCTTTGTATAGACCACATAGAAAACACTGTGTCAAACTGTTCTTCTGTTGTTGTGTGTTTATTTTTACTGTGGGAGTGTGTTTATTGGTCATTGCCTGACAGCGGCCATCTCTTTTGTCTCCACTATCCAAACTTTCTAACATCATGTCACATTGCAGCTCAGCTTTTTTTGAGGGGCTCTAATGTTGGTATTACTGATGGGAAGGATTTATGAAGTACGCCTAGGAGATGACCTCAGGATTCATGATATACTCGTACATACCAAGTTTCATGGAGACTGGTTCAGACGTTTAGAAGTAGTTTGTTGTGGGGGGAGGGAGGACATACACAACAAAGTGATCTCATAAGACTACTTTTATTGTTTCTAAACCAGGAACGTAGGGTAATAAGGAATTAAATTAGCCTTAGAAAGGGATTGGATCAGATCCAAAGTGGTGGTGCAGGTGTCTCGGATTGTGATGCAGAGCCATAGGTTGTGGAAATTTGGCGTGGCCTTTTCAGTCCTTTAGCATAATGACAATGGTTTACCATGTTGGCCTGATATGGTAAGTTTCTTCCCTGTCAAAAATTTCACTCTGTTTAATTAAATTATTGCCAATTTATAATGACAATAGGCAGTGCCTTCAGAATTTTATCCTCTTGTGTTTTGTACACAGGCACAAAGGCTGTGTATTTCTTCATGTGTTCTTTCTTAAGCACATGATTTTGTATGTTTGCAGAGGAATTGTATAAGCTTCTTATTCCAGCACTGACTAAACTTTTATTAATTGGGTGTGATATCTGCACAAGAAGTCCTTTGATCCACTGAAAAATATAGTAACTAGTGATATAAAATAATATATTTTTATGTTCAAAGTAAGTGCATAATATGGTATGCATAATACAGTATATACATAGTCATACATATTTTGTTAAGTAAAATTACATTTTTTTAAATTGGGTGTTCGTGTTTCAAAATATTCTGTTTGACGCAATATTGGATTTCATATTTTGCTGTTTTATATTGTATGCCTTACAATTAATTTACATGAAGTTCCATAAAATTCCCACTTCTGTGGAACATTTACATGAGTAAGAACTATGCTACAACGTACATACATACATACATGACAAACTGTGTACATGTGATCATGTGATTATTGTACAGATAGGTTCTTCACAACACTTCTCCCTTAATTTGATTGATTATGTGACCAAGCAGGTACTGAGTAGGTTAGCATTCTGGTAACACTGTAAATTTATAGTGAGGAAGTGCTTGGTTTGAATATCGGCTGGGGCACTGGGGTTTTTCATAGTTTTCCTCATTTCCTCCAGGCAGGTGCCAGGTAGTACCTTGATTAGACCATGACTTCTTCTTTCCAGATACTTTCCATTTCATCATTCATCTGTCCTGCCATTTGATCCTATAGTCTGCCTACTCACATTGTCATATAATAACCCCCTCACCCCAAGTAGGTTGGTGCAGGACACAACCACTTCCTTCCACAACCCCTCCAATTCATTATTCACCAGTTGCCCTATAATTTCATTCTGTAGTTCAGAATGAACATTCAGAATTCATACAGAAGAGTTTAAAGGTGTCATATGATAGAATACTAGCTTTTGATTTAGCAAACTGCAATTGATCAGTTACAGCTTTTCTGTTCCTTATGATTTTCTCCAGCAAATTTCACATTAAGTTTCTTATAACCACTGTTCCCAGAGCTCACAGTAGAAGTGTGGATGTTTAAAATACAAAATTTCAACAGAAGACATGGGAGGGTGTAGAGATATTCATTCATATTCCTGTTACTCCCTTTGGAACATAGGGTGTCTGTGAAACATTTTGTTTCACTTCAGTTTCTTAATCTTATAGACAGTTGGTAGGACTCCTTGGACAGGAGATCAGCCTGTTGCAAGGCCACTGCCTACACAGAAAGCAAACAGAATAATTGCAGACAAACATCCATGCCTCGAGTAGGATTTGATCCTGTGGTCCCAGTGTTTGATTGGGTGAAGACAGTTCAAGCTTTAGACTGTGTGGCCACTGTGACCGGCTGTACAAATATACCATCTGAAATTAAATGCAACAATGAAAAGAGAAAACATTGCTATGTATTTCCTTGCATCTTTGCTGAGAATTCATATCGCTGTTGCATCCTATGTAAAATTTTCTTTCAGTAACAGATTAACAAAGCTAATAGTTTAGTATTTTTGGGACAAAACTTATGGACGCCATATTATCCTCAATTTTAAGACATCATCATCATCTTGGGATCATGAGTATTTGGATTTTGTTCATCACATGTTATTCAGATGATTGTCAACATCCAGAATGTCAGTAATCCCAGAGCCCTTTGGAACTCAATAATTGTCATCGTACCATTGGTATTTAAACAGTCATAGATGATTGTTGGTTTGTGAACGACCTAGGAAAAACAGGAGATGTAAATTCTCCTTTTCAGTCTTTTTACATTGGTAAATTAATCCAACATGTATCCACATCCTTGAATGACCAAAGAAATTAATGTTTTGTAGAATTATCATTTGGAAAGACAGTGCAAATATGTTTGCTGTTTTAGATATATCTGTCTCTCAGTTGAGTTGTAAAAATAAAGGTGCTCTGTTCGGTAATAATTACGAACAGTAAATATTCTTATATTTGTGAGCATACAAGTATGTTCTCATAGCTCATGCTATGAGCATCTGTAATTTAATGCACTCTCCCCTCCATTTTGTTGCTTTAATAATATTCAAGTCACTTTAATAATATTCAGAACACTTGTAATGTTCAAGTGGGGTTTCACATTCCTGTGTGTAGCTAAATACATGCAATATATTGTAAAATGAACAAACATTTTCACATCTAAGCCAGTTGGTGGGGTGGCGGGGAATAGATTCCTGCTGGTCCACAATCATCTGTACAGCTTCACTAATCTTATTCCAATATACAGGATGTAAATAGATATATGTTACATTGCTCTGTGGTAGGTAGATGGGTTCAGTGTGATCATATTTTGTTAATACACCCACATCCAGAAACGCTTTGTTTACGTGCTAGGGCCTCTGAAATGTGAAGGAGGACGCCCGTACCTCTTACCTCTGTGACTTACTGGTGACATTTACCTAACATTTCGCCAAGAAACCTTAACCGAGCTGCTGGGAAGTCCATTGTGAAATGTGGTTCCAACATGATGGCGCCCCAGCTCGCTACACTAATGTTCTCCGTGAGCATTTGGATGAAACTTGGCAACAGATGGATTGGATGTGGAGGCCCAGTAACCTTGCCCGCTCTCTCCTCTGACTTGACTCCACTGGATTTCTTTCTCTGGGGGTACATGCAAAGCCTGGTGTATGATACTCCAGTTGAGACACAACATGATCTTATGGCAAGAATGCAGTAGCAGCTGGAACCACCTGGTAAATGACAGGAATCTTTCAAACAGTTTAGCATAATGTGGCCAGGTGCTGCAGAACATGCAATGAAGTCAGTGGCCTCCATTTTGAGCAGCTTTTATAACATAAAACAATATAACATCCCCTAAAACTTATGCATCTTATCGGAAACTTTTGTGGCCCTTAGTGCCAAAAGGAAGCGTTTCTGGACATGGATGTATTAACAAAATATGATCAGTCTGAACCCATTTATCTACCACAGAGCATTATAACATACGTGATACAGTCATTAATTTTGTGGACTGTGGTTTTATCACATCGTATTACAAGGCATTTACATACACTTACACAGATCCACATCAACCCTCAAAATAGTTGGTGTTGGTTGCTATGCAAGTCTGCCAACGTTGATATAGCTGCCGAAAACATTGCTGAAACATATTGGCGGGAAATTCCTTTACGGCGTCTCTTGTGGCAATGACGACCTCCTCGGACGACTGAAATCTACCACCACATAGCTTTGCTTTCTAGCAGTGAAAGAGAAAGAAGTCACATGGTGCGAGATCAGGTGAATACAGAGGGTGTGGCAAAACGGTGACCTGTTGCCTTACCAGTTCCTCTTGGGCAAGAACAGAGCAATGTGCAGGGGAGTTGTCGTGTAGCAACAGCCAATTCTTCCTACATCAAATGTTTTGCTAGGGGATTTGCCTAGTTTCTGGCAGAACTTGATGTTTGTCCGTTGTTCAAACTGCCACATTTTCGATTTCCCCCCTTCACAGTTAACTGCAGTACACAACAGAGGCCATAGTTCTGCTTACACTGTTTGAACACGACTGCCTCTTGCTGTGACAAGAGATGAACCGACAGGGCATTATATCGTGCATCTGCCTATCCGCTGTAATGCCCTGCAATGATGCTTTGTGGCCAATCCACGTAATTATTGACTGTGGTAGTATATTTATTTACACACTGTATATGTACACTACTTTGCTACGTGATATTTCAGGTTTCTGCTACTGACCTTTCATTTTAAAGCTGAGGGTTAGAATGTGTTTAGTTACAGTGAGAACTAGTAGTACACTATGCTTTGAATTGTTTGTGCATAGATTATTTGGTTTACAGATTATCTGTGACATGTTTCCTATCTTAAAATCACTATCTGTCTAGATATATAAAATTTAAATGTAACACTAGGATGACCTTGAGTGGATAGGTATGCTGCTGGCAGTCTGCCATGTAGCTGTGAGGCTCTACTCACTGATTTTTCACACAAGTCCTAAGTGGAGAGCATGATAACAAATGGCTTTGCCATTGGTGATTGTTACAGTAACATATTCATTCATTATTGTATACCAGACATGGAATCAATCATCTTTTGGCCAGTGATTCTAGGCATGCACTTTTGTGAGTTGGCATTGCTAGTTAATTACTATGAAGGGGACTAGTACTTCATTAGTACAGTAAACTTTCAAGCATTCATAAACATTTGCTTATCCTTTCTTAAAAGGGCATGAATGCAGTTTATATTATTTGAAACTGTTTGGCAGGTTCAAGGGTTGAGCCACAGCACTGAAGGATAATCTCCCCCTCATGAACTGTTCTGTGCTCAGGCAACCTTCAGTGTTGTATTTGTTCTGACTGCACCTTATATGTTGTTACATATGAAAGTGATGTTTCAAATTCTTGTTGTTAAACAGTGTATGAAGTGATCAAAGTCTTCTATTCTGCCATAAATCTGTGATTATGGAGGCAGAGACGCTCTCCAAAACATTGTAAATTCATTCTGTACTGACGACACAGCTGATTGCCTGAGAGGACTCATTGCATTAAGTTGTCTGAAAGCGTCAAATCTTATAAAGCTATCAAGTATTTTCTAATGGTACAGAGGCTGATTTCTGTATCAGTCTAGGGAGTCGGAACTCACTCATGCTTCAGAATGATTGTAAAAATATACAGAGTAAAGAAGTACATTCAGCAGAGGGCATTACATGTGATTCGTAGTTGTACTGTAATATTGAAAGAATAAGAAACCGAAAGAAAGAAACTCCGTTGCCTGTAGTCCGCAAGCGAACTATACTAACCGAACGACTGTTGCTTGTCGGCGAAGCTAGTGCCAAGTTTTGTGGGTAGAGGGTGTCATGTGGTCAGCACAACAAATCCCCATGGCCATTAATCTCAGTTTTCTAGACCAGAGCCGCTCTTTCCTTCAGGTAGCTTCTCAGTTGTCCTCACGAGGCTGAGTGACCCTGTTCCAGACACACTACTAATCAGAAAATCTGGTAGCGCCGGGAATCGAACCCGGGACCTCTGGATCTATAGCCAGGAACACTGACCACTAGACCACAGAGGCGTTCTTTGAAAGAATAAGACATATAATTTTAATTGAGACAATGGAAGCATTTTTTGTTTGTATAGTATGGTCTATTATGATCAAGATTAATACTTCACTAGCATGATCAATTATATTTTAATTAAATATGTATCCACATACACGTAGATCTATGAAATCAAATGGGAGGAAGGTCAGTTTAGTTATCACTGAAAATAGGACACTAATGTAATCTTTGGACGTGTTTAGGAGGCCGTTGTTGATTGTTGAATATACAAATTTGGAAATATATGCGTAGTGTCTTTTTGCTTTATTCTATCAAAAACTGTAATTATTCTCCAAATTTTGTTCAAAACACCTTCCATTTCAATAAATATTAAACACATTATGCTAAGGATACACGCAGAAGAGTGCAGTCTTCATGTGAGTGTCCATTATTTTTGTCCACTTTTAACTAAAACAGGAATGTGTTAAGAGATTTTAGTGAAACTCCTCAGCGTCAAATTTCATGAAATATTATGTAGTGGTTCTCAGGTTGTTTCATGTGTACAGGTTTCTGAAAGTTCCTAAAGGTGGAGATTTTCTTTGTTACACACTGTGTTTGACTACATTTTAACTATACATTCTTTAGCTTATATCATTATGTTGCCTTCTCTCTGCTTCTGCCATGACTGGGCATGATTCATTACCCATATCAGCTTGTTCATGCAGATATCTTCTTGTGCGATAAACTTCATGTGAAACCGTGAGAAACGCACATCTTCTTGTACAGTTCATGTACCATTTGAAAATGAACTTTCTATTTTGTGATATGTTACATGTGGCATCTCACAGTAACAAGAGTTTCACAGCGGAACAAGTCCTCCTCGTGTGGTTGGATTGCGTGCCATGTATATGTCCATATCATGATCAGTCCAATTGTCTGAAGTGTCACAGTAATTGTTGAGAGTGTGGGTGGAGCCAGCTGTACTGTAGCGACTGCCAGGTCTTTGTAGTCCAGATTGGTGATCCCTGCTGCGGGACCGAGGACGTTGTCGACGAGAAGAGGTTACAGATGGTTGATGGTGTTGATGACTGGTAGGGTAATTCATGCGAGATACATGATCAGAAGTTGCTGTGAGTGATTGCCGGGATTGTCGCAGTTCTGTGAAAAGGTAAATGGCAGATTTTAGTTTAGAAAGCTTCTCGACAAGGAGCCCTTGTTATGTAATACTGCAGTGCACAGGTGCAGAGTTCATTTCTACAGTGCTGTACCACTGTCCTCTTTTGTGAATGAGCAAGCAGTTCATTTCTTTAGTTAGTGTATTTTATAAATGATAATGCATCAGAATGTGATTGTGCAAGTGCAGTCCATTACAAGAAGTAACTATTTATTGCAGGAAAGGCCTAGAAATGATGCATTTGTGTTTTGGTGTTACATGCATACACACATGAAAGATGAGCTTAAGAAATGAATATGAAACTCTTCTTACTTTTGCACGGTATGTTCATTTTAATCCAACTTAGAAAACAAAGAGTAATTATAGTGGCATTTATTTCTGTATTACATATTTCAGTAGTTGATTGAGGCACTATGCTACAAGCTGGAAGGTTGAGTCCTGATGAGGTGGATTTTTTCAGTTTACCTAATCCTTCCAGCTGCAGTATGGCCCTGGGGTCAACTCAGTCTCTAACAGAAACAGAAATGAGTACCAGGGATCTTCTGGGGATAAAGGGCGGCCGGCGCCTAAGGCTAACAACCTTACCGCCATCTGTGAGCTGACTGTTTAGAGAAAATGTGGGAGCCTCGACGTCTCACAACTCTATGGGCCTCCACGGCCTGGTACAGGAATACCTTTACCTGTTGTAATATTTCAGATTCCTCAAATTAAGCTATGCTACTGATGCTATTTGTTGGTGTAGCTGGTTTTTGACTTCTCAGATGACATTCAGTGTTATGATAAAAGTGTCAATGATGGATATAACACAAATATAGTGTAACAGACATGACTGTGGTGATATCATAGTATGGACCAATGATTCCCAAACCGTTTTATGAGTAAACTGAAATTCTCTGAGGCATTCTGAACAACTGCAGATTTCATTAGTATCATTAGACCAAAATTAAAGTTCTTTCTGTATAAGTTATATGTGGGTAGCCAGGATAGCACAGTCAGTATAGTGACTGGCTACGGGCTGGACGACCAAGGGGTGAGAGTTCTAGTCTTGCTAGTGTCAAGAATGTTCCCTTCTCGACATCATCCAGACTGGCTCTGAGGCCCACCAAACCTCCTATCAAATGGGTACCAGGGACTTTTTCCCCTGGGTTAAAGCAGGCGGGGCGTGAAGCTGACCACTCTCCTCACGCTAGTGCAGAGTTAAAAATCATGGTTTTAGACTTATATATTCCTCCATATGTCTTCATGATGTAGTCCTTAATTAAGCACAGGGACAACTTTACCTTAATTTTATAAATTGTGTGTGACTGAAGTAATCATTTATTGTATGTAATAATACAATGAAGGAATTCATTTATAGATCACTAATACCAGCTGAATATCTTACCAAAGAATGATTTAGTTTATTTCAAGGTTCAAGTAAATTTTGGTGCAGTGTTTTTTTTATAAGTTTGGAGATTTTCATGGTGGTTAGTGTTCATTTTATGGGTCTGATTGGTGTTTCACTGGAAGTAAGTTTCATAATACAAGACTGCTTTTTCATCACCAAGTTAAGTAAATACTGTAATGGGATCACAGGGTACTGTAAGACATCTGAATTTTACTGGATGTGCGTTACACTATTGTAATGGCATGTGCATGCAGTCCAGCTGACTGAACATTGCCTCTTGGTTAAAAACCAGCCACTAACCCTATAGTACTATATTTAAAGTAAAAAAGTAAAATAAAGGTATCCCTGTAGCAGGCCATGGAGGCCCATAGGGTTGTAAGATGTTGAGGTTCCCACATTTTCTAGGCAGTTGGTTCATAGATGGTGGCAAGGTTGTCGTCCCTACGTGCCGGCTGCCCTTTACCCCCAAGAATATTCCAAGAATATTCCTGGTACTCATTTCTGTTAGAGGCTGAGTCTACCCCAGGGCCAAAGTGCAGCTGGAAGGATTAGGTCAATTGAAAAAATCCACCTCATCGGGATTCTATCCCACGACCTTCCAGCTTGTAGCATAGTGCCTCAACCAGCTATGCTACCGCGTGCCCCCTATAATATTATGTTTGTTTACTTTATTGTGGGTTTATGATTTTTTGGTTCAGTATTGTTTATTCATTATTACAGAAAGTTTTATTCCCCATGGATCTAAAATCCTTATTCCCAAATGATAAATATTAATACATGTAGTTTCAGTGTTAGTGTCAGATTTGTTCAGTATTTTATAAAACGTTTTCATAGTTAGGAGAATATTTCAGGAATACTGATCTAGACTACAGGTTTATTTAGACAGCCTTGCCTGGTCGAGAGCTGACAAGCCCAGCAGCATAGGATTTCCCTGATAGATATCGTCCAGAATGGTTTGAGAAACTGTGTTGCGATTGCCCATCAGCTATGGACCTGGTCTTAACGCCTTTGCTGCTGAAGTGAGATGCATGCGAATGCATGTCATCAGCAATACATCCCATGTTGATGGAACCTAGGGGGAAATAGCAACTGCTTATGCACAGAAATATTATAAAATGTGTTAGTGGTTAGTTGCGCGTGACCACGCCGAGGACCTTTTAAATGTTTTACATGTATATATTCATTACTCCAATCACTGTTACAAAGTTTTCAGTGAAGCGAAGTTAGGGAGGTTACTAATTACTGATGTTAGTTTTATTCTTGCCTTGTTAACACTGTGTGGATGTGGCCAATGTTGCCAGTGTTTTCGAGGTAATGCTGCCTCCAGTCATCAAGGTTGAAGTGTGTAGGTTGCAGAATTTCTGTGCTTTCCATTTAGAAAAGCAGCAGCAGAAGGGAGGCGGTGGTAGACTGGGGAACAGTGCCTCATGTGGGCCAACAGGGAAGGTGGACTGCAAAATTTGTGTAGGTGGTCCTTTTAAAGGCCAAGGACTGCATCAGAAATACCATTGACAACTGAGGTTGTCGAACAGTCACCTATTCAGGTGCTCCCTAGGGGAAACTTTGCTGGTGGATCTGAGTGATGTCATTGATCTTATGCCTGGTTGACCACTCAAGAGCATCAGTTGTCAGTGGAATTTTTTATATATTTCTGGGCCTTTAAAAGGCCCATCTTCACAACTTCCACAGTCCACTCTATTTACTGGCCAAGATGAGCACCAATCCCCATTCTGTCTCCCCCCCCGTCCCCCATCGATTTGGAAAACAACATGCCATATAAACACAGAAACCATCAACCTCCGTACTTCAACCTGAAGGTGGAAGCAGCATGTACCTCTGAAATGTCAGAAACGTGATGCAGTTAGGGAAATATTTTAAATTGGTTTATGCATTTTGTTTTGAGGCCTGTAAGTTTATTAGCTGCATTTCAACAGCAAACATTGATATTTAAACTTGTTCATGAGCACTGTTCTTCAGAACACACATTTGTGTTTCCGACGCTCACAAATCATATTTGCATCAAACTGACTCCAGGAATCAAAATTCCACTTGAGAAGCTAATATATACCCACATAAACGCCCATATACTTTTTATGGAACCTGACAATTCATTATCGTAAGAGCACACTACTGGTCCCTGTCTTGTGCCATATGAATCCAATCAGCATCCTCCCTCACTATTTCTTTAAGATTCCTACATTCTATGCCTAGATCTTCCAACTGGTCTCTTCCCTTCACAATCTGTAACCAAAATTGGTATACATTTTTCATCTGTCCCATGCATACTCATCTCTTTCTCCTGGATTTGATTATGCTAATAATGTCTGGTGATGAGTACAATTTAGGAGCTCCTCACGCAGGTTTCTCCAGCTTCATGTCATTGTCCTTATCACTCGGTTCTCATACATCCTCAATCTATGTTTTTCCTGACGATTTAAATCCAGCTTAATGTTATAAAAGTGGTTGGGCAATTCTGTATTACGTTGTTGGTTTTATTTGTACTTCTTTTGGCTTGTTTTGGACTTCATCCATCGTCTGGCATGTAAAGGACAAAAGACCACAACGTTTCGGAGACTGATTTGTCTCCGTCTTCAGGTGGGTAGGGAATGATAAACCTACTCAGTTGAACTTCTTTTGACTTATTTTGGACTTCATCCATCATCTAGTATGTAAAAGACAAAAGACCACGATGTTTCGGAGACTGATTTGTCTCCGTCTTCAGCTAGGTAGGGAACGTTTGTCCTTTACATACCAGATGATGGATGAAGTCCAAAAGAAGTACAGTATACACCATCGTCAGAATCCTTTCAAGTCTCTCTGGTTTTATTTGTCGTTCTCAGTTAATGTATTTCCGTTAGGCAGAACTTTTATTATATACTAGCTACTGCAGAATGAGTGTAGAAATGTGAGTAACCATGAGCAAGAAGTGTTTAAAGTTACCCCTTGCATTCCGTGTTAGCATTCAACATGCATATGAGTTTCATCCCGTCCGTAATTATTGCTGTACAAGTAACAGATTGTAAAATATTGTGTACTACAGTGATTCTCAACCATTTGTATCTTGCACCCCACCAGTCATTTTCTCAAAAAACTGTAGTCCCTCCACAGTAAAATATCTTTACAATTATATAATTTTAACTGATTATTGGAAAGTATTATTTTCGCGGCCCATCATCTCACCCAGCCGACCATCAAGTTTGACCATTTACATCTGATTGGTTGTGAAACACTGCTCTACAGGAAACACCAAGAAGTAACATGCCAGAACCATGCTGTTTTGTATTCAGAAGTGGTATAGATGCGCTGTCTACTGTAGCCTGAAATGTTAACCTTTTCATTGTTGTATATGGTATATGCAACACTTGTGATTTCCACTACATTTCATTTCCAACATATTCCATGATTAATTTCCTGCCCCTCTCTGCTGTGATTGATATAATTCTTCATTGTACCACTCATTCATGTTGCTTTTATCTTAATTACTGTGAGTGGTTGTAGATTGCAGGAGTGGCTCTTTTACCGTACTGGGCTCATATGACCGAAAAAGCAAATACAACAGTACGTGAAATTCTTGGTGAAAGAGGGAAGATAAGTTAGAAAATTTTGCAACATGGGGAAGGTTAATGCTATGTAATATATTGAAATATACAAATATTTCAGTCTTTTTATTTTCATGGAATAAATTCTTGTCTGGAAAGTGTAGTATTGTTTATCTACACAAGAACTAGTTGTCGTCGTCGTCGTTGTTGTTGTTTTGTTTTTGTTGTTTTTTTTTAAGTATTTGATGTTGTAAAATAGTAGAAATTTCTCTAAAATGTAGATTGATGTATGCTGCTATATGAAGCTTTCAGCACTATAATTATGTTGTTATAGAGTAATTTATTCTACAACAGTTTGTAAGAATATTCTCTGATATAACTCAGACTCATTTTGTCCTTGTTAGATTTTGAATCATCACTTTTTCTAACGCCTAAAACTACATTTTAAAACTGATAATGAAGTTATGGGATGTGACACAATGTCCTTCGGTTGAGGTACCTAAGTTTTGAAGGAACATTCTGCCTTCATTTTCAGGTGAACCCTGAGGATGGAGGCAGTACATTCCTTCAGAACGTTCGTACCTGTTTACCGAACTGCATTGCCTCATATTGTAGTCCGGAGGACTGTGATATTAATACTCTTTGTGAGAATCTCAGATATCACATTTGTATAATTACTGTTCTTTAAATTTTGTTTTTCATTAGAAAAAATTATCATAGTCCTGAAATTTAGCTCACTTTTTTGTATTTTAATTTTAATGTTGTTCTTAAACACCTTTTAATGATTATTAGAGGACATTTTTGGAAAAGAAATGTATATTTAGATCTTAAGTATTTTTGCTGCTAGACATCAGTGGTTTTAAAGATAAAGTTTGTCGTGTTGCATAATATTGCTTGTCCAAAAGAAAAGTTGAACTTCAATTATTATTCTGTGTGTTTAATATCCTGCAATTATTTTCATTCGTACTACAAGACTTGACTTGTCTACATACCTTGTCTGTCCATATGGTACACCCTAGGCCTTGGGATACTGCGGTTACTGTACATGGAGACCTGATCCCAATCTTTGTGTGTCGTGAAGGCACTGAGTGTCGCAAGTGAAGACAGTGGCCCTCCAGGACTAGGAGTTGGGCCCATGCCTGAGCAACAAGTTACTGGCAGCCCACCCACAGGAATCCCATTTTTAGACTCATGTTGTTCCAATGTGTGAAGTTTGCGAGACCGGCGACGACTCGCAGCCACAAATACGATGACTGCTATTACCACAGTCCCACAGATAGCAGCACTTGCTGCAATGGTTATCTTGTCCATATTGCTGGATGGGGATGTTACTGTGCGAACCTCACGACATTGATTATATGGCACAGTTTCCGGTGTCACAACTACGTCTTCTAAGGAAATCACACATACCACAATGCATTCCTGAAATACAGAAGTGAGTTTATAGCGATAATGTAATGCTTTCATCTGATATACATAAAAATGTAAATGTTCTTTTTCCTACCACGGATATAATGGAGAGCACATAAAGGCATTATACAAATTTAGTCCGTAATCTTCGCAGTATGCATGGTAGTCACAGCTGTTAAAGTGATGTGCAAGTAGAGTTTTTCGATGTGATTCGATCCTCGTTCCCAATCATAATTTTCTTTTAATGACATGAATCCCTATGCTTAATTGAGCACCAAGCCATAAATACATATAGGGAAGTGAAAGTATAACACCACGCATTCTTAACCTTGGCACCAGATGGAAGAGAGTGATCACCGTCATGCCACAGCTACTTTTCTTCCAGGGAAGGAGTCTCCATTATCCATTGGATAGGACATTGATGGGCCTGAGGGTTGGTCTGGATGCTGTGGGGAAGAGAAGATCTCTTGCCCCTACCAGCAATGGAACACCATTTCCTTGTTCATCAAGCCCTTATCCTAGTCACAATACTGACTGAGCTATCCTAGCTTCCATTTGTATGATCTGAATGTTATGCCATCTTTAAAGGTTTAGCTACTATATATTGTGAGTTTGACAAGGAAAGCAACCATACCACAGACAGAAAAATGACTACTTCTCCATGTATTTGATATGTTTGTATACCATATGTTCATGTTGGTGTGTGGCATTAGTGCAGTGAATGTAGTCCCCATGTGGAAATACACAGGAGGAACAATGCCTACATGTGAGTGTGACAGGGATGGAGCTAATGAATTACAGTAGAGCTGTAAAGCTGACCTTTGTTATTCATTATATTTTGTCACGTGTATTTTAACTGAAAAATGGTGTGGGGACTAGATTGAGCTTTACACTACAAAGGTAAACGGTAATGTTTTCACTGTATCTAATTATGTAATTAAACACTCTACAATGAAGGCATATGGGTAAGGGGGCATAGCTCTGCCATTCTTGATCTTGGCACTAGATGGAGGAAATGGTCAGATTCACNNNNCCCCCCCCCCATACACATTGGATTGGCTTGGTGGGCCCCAGAGCTGCTCTGGACCTGAAGGAGAAGAAAAAATCTCTTACCCCTGCTAGGAACTGAACCCTTGTCATCCAGTCCATAGTCTGGTCATTATACTGACTTAGCTACCCACCTCTTATTTGCACTGTAATAAATTAAAGTTTGCTCTATAACAGACAAAACTTAAAATTCAGCTGTGGGATCATTAGAACTGAATAGATTTGAACTAGCTTCAGTTGTTATCTGGACTACGTCCAAGCCTTTGTACTGACTCTAAGAATGATGAAACATAAAATTGCAGAATAAAATAACCATAGTCTGTCTTAGGATCCTATTGGCCATGCCAAAGCTCAGGCAGTTTAGTCATTGGTTTTCCACCATAGTGGGCCAAGTTTGATCCCAGGTCACGTCAGGTCATGTATATTTGGAGTGGACAGTGTGGCACTGGGGCAATTTTTCTCAAAGCACTTTGGTTCCCCCTACCAATACTCATTCCACGAAGGGCTTCCATACTTATAATATGGAGATGATACAATGGACCCAGTAGTGGCGGATGTATCAAATGGATTGAGTTTCACCACACAGCACAATTTTTTTTTTTTNTTGTATTTTATTTAGGATTCTCTCCCAACATGTATCAGGGGATACTGAAAAGAATCATTAAAATTTTATGTCAGGGCATTCACTCGCAGTCAAGATTGCAACTGGGTGTCTTCAAATTACTCAGCAAGTCAGTAGAAGAAATATCACATGCATGATGTAGTAGTCACACTCACCTGAGCCGGCACATTTTTAATCTTAAATTCTCTCTCACTTGCTTCAAGAGGAGGTCCCTGTTTAAAACTCTTGTCACCAAACAATCTGTATACAACACGGAATCCAAGTATGTTTGCAGTCTCAGAATCCCATTGAATGATGACTGAGTTATCCTGGCGGTAGGCATTGCGAACCATTACTTCCTGAACCTCTTCATGTTTGCCAGGGTGTGATGGAAAACCTAGGACAAGTGGTGGCCTCTGCTGAGAATTACTGTTTCCACGCCAGGGAGGAACAGTAGTTCTAGACACCACCACATTCCCTCGTCGTGTGGTGGTTGTAGGTCTTGATGTAGTTGTCGTACTGGTGGTAGATGTTGTTCCTCGTGTTGTCACAGTGGGTGGTTTGGGTGTGGTTTTAATTGTGCTGGGTATGGTCACAGGTCTCGGTACATGTGTAGTTGTGGTTTGAACTGTGGTCATTGAAGTTAAAGTTGTGGTTGCAGTGGTTGTGCTGCTGGTTGTACTAGTAGATTTGAGTGTTGTGGTCTTCAGGCGTGATATTGGGGACGCAAATACTGCATGCTTTTCTTCTTCCTCCTCCATTTCTTCCTCTCTTTTTGGTGGTTTCTTATTTCCTGGTTCATTCTGAATAGCGGCAGTATTCGCTAGGTCGTTGGCTATTCCACATGTAAGTTCTGTAATGATATTTGTACAGTTCTAAAATTAATATTTAGTGTCTAACTAAGTTTAAAGAAACGCTATACTTTCCCTTTGGAAGAAAAAATTGTCTTGGCCATACTCTACTTTGAATAACATTCTAATGTGTATGTTGATAAATATAAGAGGAAGTTTATTCATTATCTGTACAAAAAGTATGTGGGCTCCATATTCATTCAAGATGTACCGAAAAGAAGAATGTGGTGAAACTCGATTTCACCTTAAATTGTATTGTTTCTCTCATACCTTTCTGTGTTACTTGTGAAAACAGTCAGTAACCATGTTTAAGAATCACTGCACTGTAGAACAGGATGCATGTAAGAGCATTTGCGCTAGTAACATGGCACTTTTATCGGAGGAGTTTTTATAGATTTTAATATTAACCATTTCTCAATATTCCTGATCTAATTTTTTAACTTTAAAAATTAAGTTTCTTTATGTGGGTAGTAACAGTTCTCATGAAGTACTCTATATTTTTGGATATATTTTTATAAATAATGGAAGTAGAATATTTGTGGTTTTGATGTCACTAAATTCCTTACTCTACCTTCCACAGTGTTCAACGTTCTGAGCTGCTTGCTTTTGTGGATGTTGCTTGTTCACAATAGAGGTACATCATATATATTACGAACTTACTTCCCTTGTAAGTTTGTTACATTGAAGGTAGACATATTATGATTTATCATGGCCATTCTAATTTAAGACATTTTGTGATGTTTAGTAAACAGAATGCAAGGCAACTATTTTGGACAATTCTTAAGCATTGTGGCTTCAGACATGGCTCTCGCATTTCTGTTGAAGTCCAACTATTGATGTCACCATATTCAGTAGTGTTTGAATACTGCCATACATTTGTTGTGTATGGTCATTCAAATATAATAAATGAACACCTAATGTATAAATTTAATGAGGTACTTTGCTACTTAAATATCATTGCAACTTTCTTATTCCCTGTGTATATTTTATCGAATCATTTTTAGTCAGTGATGCTCATCTTTCATTGTTCTTATGAAAGGACATATATATCATGGCTTTTTTGTTAACCCATTGACATACATTGGTGACTACAAAAATTCTCAAGTTTGGGCTGCAGTTTGTGTTTTATGGCTGTAAGACGTCACAAGTTGCAAGTCAGAACATCACACTTACTGAACAAGATACGTAATATATCGATACACAGATTTGAGAGATTATTTTCAAATCATTGAATTGTTTTTATGACTAATTTGAATAGACAAAATTTAGTATGTCAAGAGATTAAACAGTATTATTCCTTGTTATAATATTAAATACAGCATAATTCTTCTTAATAAATTTATGATGTAATTCTCATGTGTTCAAATGAAGTGACATATGAAAGTGAAATCTGATCATTAATGAATATTTTGCAAAGAACCAAGACTCAATATGAAGGCTTAAGATACAGTTTATAAATTAGATTCACCAAAAGTCAGGGTACAGTGGGTGACATTCCTGTTTCATATGTAATATGTCCTGGGTTCAGATCTCGTGGTTTACCTCAGTCCGTCCAGGCGAATGCAAAGATACTTCCGCAAATTAGGCAACAATCATTTCCTTCCACATCCTTTGTAATTCACTAATCAACCCATATGGTGTCAGCTTCTGACACCATCGCAGAATAATCAAAGAACATATCTGGGATTCTGATGTCTTTTATATGACAACTACCGTAACACAGGTTTGCTTACATGCAACATGCAGTCTGTGACTCTTATTGTAGCCTTAGGGTATTGTAGTCTCGGTCCTACTCGATTACGGTTCTCTTATATTGAACGTTAAATTATACAGGGTGAGTCTTAATTACACACCTTCAACATAAGCATCGTGTTCTACAGTTACAGGCAATCAGAAACGTTTATATGAGTATGTGGTCGCAACCGCTTCGTTAGGGAGACATGACAATATTGTTTTCCTTTCAAGAAACATGATTCCAACAGAAGTTTGCGGGCGGGAATAATTGGCCATCTCCTAGATCGTTATGAGCTACAGTATCAACTATTTATACAGTTTCTATTTCAACAGCGCAACTACTGGACAAGGTACCATTGGCAAGGCGGCAGGCATTATGGCTACTGCTCCTGCCCTGTCTTCTCTTGATGTCATGCGGTATTCAGACAGCCACTGCCCAGGTAGATGGATAGGACGAAATTGACCAATTGTGTGGTCTCCTCAGCCACCCTACCTCAATTCCTGCCGGTTTGTACACGTGGGGCCTTCTGAAGAGCATCGTCTCGGCCCATCCATGTAACATGTGACGATCCGTGGACTGCCATTGAAGCGACTGGGGTGACAGTATGCAACATTCCTGACCGGGAATTTTGGGCGCAACAGGGATCGGTTATATATACATTGATTGCAATTGTGGGCCGTTTCAACATGTTTTGTAAACCAACAGTAACTGGTCAGATGCTAATAACCCAGTATCTACATTTACGTTATTTGTCTGTTCCTTCCTTGTGCTCCCTGTTGCCATATCTGTCTGACGCGGTTGCGACCATATACATATTTATGTATTACACCGTTTCTGCTTGCCTGTAAGTGTAGGACACGATGCTCATATTGAAGGTGAAGAATGCCGTCTTCTGGGATGTGGCACGGTGTAGGTATTGTGTAAACCGACGTTTCGGAGGTAGCTGCAGACTCGCGATGGCGCTGATTCCTCGCTCGCGGATTTTTCTACCCTAAAGATTGAGGTGATACGTTCCTCTGAAACGTCGGTTTACACAATATCTACAGGGCGCCACGTCCCGGCAGACGGCATTCTTCATAGGTACCGCCGTGAAAACCTCAAATCTTATCCATATTGAAGGTATGTAATTAGGGCTCATCCTGTATATCATACATTATGTAGTGTATTTATTTGAAAAGAAGAGTAGCCGTCGAATTTGATGAGCTAAACCATAATACGTATATTAAGTGCATGGGTGATTAATCCTGGCATAAATCGGATTGTGTATTGCGGTCTAGTGGTCAGAGGTCCTGGGTTCGATTTCCGGCGCTGCCAGATTTTCTGAGAAGTAGTACGTCTGGAACGGGGTCCATTCAGCTTCTAGAGGTTAATTGAGGAGCTGTTTCAAGGAAGTAGCGGCTCCGGTCTAGAAACCCGAAATTAGCGGCCGTGGGGATTCGTCGCACTGACCACGCGACACTCTCTGTACTCAAAAGTTGGCACTAACTTCGCCGACAAGCGGCAGTAGCTCGGTCTCTATAGTTCGCTTGCGGACTACAGGCCACGGAATTTTTTTGTATTGCATTAAAGCTGCAACTGCGTGATAGAACTGAAACACAGTGGAAGATATCCGGAAACTTTCGAGTGAAAATTGAGTTCTCTGTAATAGTCTGTTTGTATTTACTTACACTAAGAGATATGGATACGCAATTTGTTGAATATTTCTACAGTCATTTAGTACAGTTAACACGTATACTGAGTTTAGTAAAAGTAAGATTTAAATGGATTTTTGTGGAACTGGATAAATGAGCGCCGTGCCAGTGAAGGCCGCTCCATTCTCATTTCTCGTAATTCCCAAACATCAGTAACATCGAGGTGTTAGTCGCGTGAACTTCTGAGGTGATGTATAGTTTTACAGTTTGTTATGGCTTGTAATGTATCACTGAGGTAAAGCACGCGAAATTTAGAGTAGAGATGAGTCGTAAATGTTTAATTTTCATATGTAAAAACATCAGACACGTGACGAGGGAGCAAACTTTTGGAATTATGGCATAACTTTCAGGCAGCGGTAATGTGTATGAGTGGATACTGTGTATTTATTAACTAATAAATTAATTGCTCCCGTCTTTTCACTGCAGATGAAAATGTTTAAAGGAAAGTGTATGTCATAATTAAAAAAAAATTGGGAGAGTTCTGGTTCCAGTATTCATGAATGCATTTGATTTATGTAATTTGTTCATATGGCACAGTGGCTTAAAATTGTGTTCTTACTCAGCAGTATTTTTAGACTGTCTGTCCTTATCTACATACAGTAATGTGTTTATGTATGTACAGAGTGAGTATGAAATATGTTGACAAACTTTGGGGATGAGCCCCACCTACGAAAATAAGTTCATATAAGTGTGGATCCACAAACGTTTCATTTCTGAGAACTAAAAGGACACATTTACAAGAAGTGCTCGAATTGGCTTGGTCACGTCTTATCATGGACTGTCGAGCCCGATCGAAGGCAAAGGGATAGTTGCGGATAGACTGGCAGGCGTTCACTATGTGCTGGTGAAGTGTGTCACTTTGTGAGCAGGAGCTGAAAATGCAAAAAGGTTTTAAATGCCCCCACACGTAGAAATCCATAAGATTGAAATCAGTGAGCATGGGGGCCACGCAGTGTGCTCTCCTGTACTTATCCATCTTTTATGATAGGTACATTTGAGGACATCTCGCACAACACGCCTGAATTGTGCTTCAGCGCCATGATGCTTGAACCATATATATTTTCTGACCGCTAGTGGTACAGCATTAATACATCGGGCAATCCATTCAGCAGAGAGTCTCGGTAGTGGTTGCCTGTAAGCCGGCGTGGCAGAACATGCTAGCATACCAGGTAATTACCACCAGTGCCTACCCGAACATTAATGGTGAACTTCACCATGGGGATTATTCTCGGCTTACTGCTGGCGGATGTGAAAATATATGATACCTTCTCTACCAAGCCTGAAAAGAGCGCTGACACAAGAAAGGGAGGCTCAGCGCATTGCTGAATAAACCACGGACACAAAATACTCGTATCTCATTCAAGAGAGTCGGCAGGCTTGAGACCCTAGACTCGCTGTAAGTTGTATGGGCACGGTATGTGGAGTACATCCCAAAAGTTTGTCCTCAGATTTCAGATTCGCTCTGTATATGCTTTCGAGCGGACAGTGAGGGGGACATCGAACCACATGCCAGCATGCGCATGGGTTCTAAAGTCTCCGGACCTTCCCTCTTCTCTCAGCTCCCAGAAACTCACTGCGCTTCGTCTCTCGCGTTTGCACCGGACGCTTCTAGAAGAGGCAGTACAGTTGTTTCAGTTGAGGCTCATTGTGAGCCAGAAGTAGTGAACAGCGCGTGGATGTGGTGAACGAATGCGACGAGACGCAAATTTGTGAGTGGAAGAAGAAGAAGGTACAGTAGTGTACAGTGAATTAGTAGTGAATCAGAACAAACTGACTTAAGACCGTGACAGGCTGTAAATGACTGCACCAAAACAAGACAGACGTTATAATACTCATGTACAGGATGTAACTGAAAGGTGCAGACAGAATTTGGGTACGAGTTCCACATGTCGAAACAAGAAGAAACATGTCCATATCAGCATGTGCCTGGAAACAAGTTATTAGTTACAGTTGAAAGAAAACTGTGTAGACATCAGCAGCAGTTCAGCGTTAATGTATGGGCAGGGATTGTTTGGTAGGCTCGCAGGTTTTGCCACATCGGCTTACAGGCAACCACTACAGCGATTTCCTCCTACATGATCAGCCAAAGCTACTGGAAGGTGTGGCACTGGCAGACAGAGCACGAATGTGGTACACGCATGAGGGCGCTCCGTGCTGTGCGAGATGTCCTCAGTAACACGTAACATGACCGATGGATAGGTACAGGAGGACCCACTGTGCGGCCTCCACGCTCACAAAACTTGGATCCTCCTGTGGCGACCCCTAGATCCTTTGTGTATGCAGCTCTGTTGACAACGGAGAGGCACTGCGATACCTGTCAGACTATCCGCAACTGCCCCGGATTCTTTGAGCGGATGCGGCGTCCGAGTTGTGCATTGGATCTCATGGAGAACATTTCGGAGCGGTTACTGTAAATGTACTCCTTCAGCTATAACTCACAAATTACATGTTTCTGGACTTCTTGGCTTGGTATGTGGAATTCGTGCCCGAAGTTCGTCCGAACATTTCAGTCACACTCTGTGTACAATATATGTGTGTGCACAAAAATATGTGCATGACTTTCACCCGCCCAGTTTTAAAACACATCTTGACCTCCCTCGTAACTACACGTAAATATTCACTAAACATGTCAATTTTATTGTCTTCTTTTCTCATAAATTACCATTTAAAAGAACTTGTAATACAGTGCTGATGAAGTAGATATGTTACAGGCAACCTACGGCATCCAGGAATTGTGTTTATTATCTAGGCTGGTTAGTTGGGCCTGTTAGAAATCGCTAGTCTCGAACACTGAACTGAGTACGACATTTTCCTTGATTGAAGAAGACAGAAACCCTTAGACTTGATTTTCATACGTTTCCTGGTGCTTTTAGCGGATTTAACATTTTGTCCATGAGAGATACATATGAAAGGAAAGCAAGAGACTTTTAAATGCTTTCACTCTTAATAGGGCTTACCGTCTGGCTGAATAGTGTAGAATCCTCGGTCCTTTAATCTTGTAGGACTACCACAGAACTGGGGATTCCGTTCGCGACTGGTAACCTGTAAGTCGTTTCTTCTGACCCATTCTGTCACCCACCGTAGCCTGCAGTCGCAATGCAGAAAACGTCCTCCAAGACTTAATCCTCTTAATGTCATGTTAAGATGGGCCAGTGCTAACTCTGGGACGGTAGTCAAGGGGTTGCCATCCAGTGCTAGCAGTGTTAGTGAGGGCGTTCCGAAGAAAGCATCACCCGGCAGCTCCGTTAGCAAGTTGAAACCAATGTCAAGCACCTAGAAAGCACAATACTCTAAGTGTAAGAAAAGAAACATTAGCATACGTTGTTAGGCGTATTTTTAGTCTACTTCGTGTATTTTAAGCTTCATTTGTGATGATGGCCCAAAACCTTTGAACATTCTGAGAACTAGAAACCTAATTGGACCAGAAACTGCGTGGATCAGAATCCGTTTCAGGAAGCTTGTAGTCTCTCTCATGCTCAAGAAATGTCACGACTTGTACGGAATCTAACGGCCCCATTGACCGGTTCTGGGGTCCACCCAACCTCCTATCCAATGGGTGCCGGGGTACTTTCCCCGGGGGGTAAAGCGGCCGGAGTGTGAAGCTGAGCACACACCTCCACATAATGCCGAGGTCAAGAAAATGTGGATCTATACATCCACTTCCCCATACGCCTTCATGGTGCAGTACTTAATTAGTTAAACACAGGGACAACTTTACCTTTTTACACATGTAATTCAGTGTTTAATACATCAGTATCCTCAGATACTGGAGCCATCTGAGAAGCTTCTAAATCGATAAAACTATGCTACATCGATATAAACGTCCGTGTGGATATCGATTGACATCCCTGTGTGGAGCTCAAGCATGATTGCAACATCGCCACAGTAGTGCGAGTTTACCCGCAGCTCGGTGAGGCTGTTGATGGCCGCCGTCGGGAAGTCCGTCAAGAGGTTGTTGAGGAGACTGAGCGAACTGAGCGTGTCGTTCACCCCATTGAACGCATCGGCATCAACGCTCTGGATCAAGTTACGCTCCAGGTTGAGGGCCGTTAGGGAATGGAGATCTTCCAGAAGGCGTCCACCGGGACCTGGTAGTTCTCGGAGTCCATTCTGAGCTAGATCTAAAAACGCTAATGTCTTTAGTCCGCGTACTGCCTCCGGTACCCGTTTTTGTCTCGTTCCTTTCAAATTGAGATTCTTGAGTGAGCCTTCAAGCCCTCTGAACGCCCGTGCTGATAACGTGAGATTGTTATCCGAGAGTTTTAGTGTCGAAAGGCTAGAGAGTGTGACGAAGGCTTCATCGGGCACCGTGCCGATGTGGTTGCGGGACAGATCGAGTAGTGTGAGATTTGCTAGAAGTCGGAGGCTTTCTACAGGAACTTGCTCCAGTTGATTGTCTTGAAGATTCAGGTTCCTAAGTGAACCTTCCTGGCTACGGAATGCCCCCGGTGCTATAATCCGAATTTTGCACCCGGATAACTGCACATTATTAAGTCTGAGATTCTTAAAAGCACCGTCTTCTATTTTAACAATTGTGCTATTGTTCACATAAAGCAAGTCTAATGGAGTAGTTCTTGCATATCTATCTAACGCGCTGAGCAAGAGAGGGAAGTCCACCATATCACACTGCACTGAAAGTTCTTGGCCTAAGTTATATGCGCAGATGCATGAAGATTGTAGTTCCTTGAGGTCTCGGTGCCAAGGGCATTGGGCTGCGAGTGAGTGGGCCACAAGCAGCATCACACCCAGCAGCCATGTTGAAACTCTCGTCTGAACCTGAAATAGAAATCAGACTGTGAACAAACTCAGTCATTTCGTACATGTTCTGTCAGTTTGGATTGTAAGGAAGTCACCATTACCCCGTTTTGAAGAGTACTATCTTCTGGTAAGGAGCCGGGATAGCGTACTCGATATGTCGACTATCTACGGGTTGGACGATCGAGGGATAGGAGTTCGAGTCCCGATAGGATCAGGAATTTTCTCCACGTTGTCCAGACCGGCACTGTGGCCCACCCATCCTCCTATTTGATGGGTACCGGGGGTAAAGCGGCAGGGGCATGAAGCTGACCACTCACCCCCAATTAGTACCGAGATCAAAATATGGATCTATACATCCAGTCCTCCATACGTCTTCATGGGGCAGTGCTTAATTAGTTAAGCACAGAGATTTTTACCTTACTGTTTTCTGGGCTATAACGCCATGTATTCCGCTGAAAGTAAACCGACGTTTCGGAGGTGCCACTTGCCTTCATAGTGATTTCTTGCTCGGCCTATTCTTCGACCCTGAAAAACGGGGGGCGGCATGTCCCTCCGAAACGTCGGTTGACTTTCAGGGGATTACATGGCGCTATATAACGCCATGTAATCCGCTGACCGCCTCTGTGGTCTAGTGGTCAGAGTTCCTGGCTACAGATACAGAGGCCCGGGTTCGATTCCCTGCACTACCAGATTTTCTGAGAAGTAGTGGGTCTGGAAGGGGTCCACTCAGCCTCGTGAGAATAATTGAGGAGCTATTTGAATGGAAAAGTAGCGGCTCCAGTCCAGAAAACCGAGATTAACGGTCGTGGGGATTCGTTGCGCTGACCACGCGACACCCTCTATCCGCTGAAGTGGGCACCAACTTCGCCGGCAAGCGGCGGTCGCTCGGGAGGTATAGTTCGCTTGCGGACTAAGGCCACGGAGTTTAGTTTTATATGCTAGACTACTGTACCCTTCATAACCACAGTTGTGAGAACCTCAGATCCTACATTACACAGTTTCGGTCACATGATTTCCAAACGCGTTCTTTACGAGTTTGCGAATCTCATTTCTGTTCTTGTTGATTTGCTGCAAACGTGAATCTGCTGCATTGTCGTTCACTTCAGTAAACATTCTTTACCTTTTTGTCTCATATTGCACAATATGCTGGGTGTTGTAAGACGCACAAAGAAACAACGAGAGAGCTTGGGGGCAGATGAAGTTTTGTTTTCTGGGAAGAGAATCTGGCATTACATACTTGTTCATTAAATTTCGTTGCCACATTTGTAATGTAACACTTGCGGAAGAGGAAGTGTCATTGTTATTGAAGTAGGTAAATTGTAACTGTGTAATAGGGCTGGGAAAATACCTACTGCCATAGTATAGGAAACACTGTTAGGCTTTTGTGAATACATTGTTGAATATTGGGATACCATACAGGGAGTTCCTTCTCCAGCTGAGTAACTATAAATTTTTAAAGACTATATGCATATTGAGGAGTCGGTATAGCGATGGTCTACGTGCTGGACGGCCGGGGTTCGATTCCCGGCAAGAGAAGATTTTTCTCCACTCCACAGCGTCCATACCAGCTCTGGAACACACCCAGGCTCCCATCCAGTGGAAACCGGGTTCTATTTCCCCCGGATTAAAGCGGCCGGGTCGTGGACCTGACCACAGTGCCATCTGTTGCCGATGTCAAGAATGGTGGAACTATACCTCCACTTCCTTGTATCTCTAAATGGCATAGTGCGTAAGTAATAAAGCACAGAGAGAGCTTTGCCCTTACGTGCACCTTGGCAGTTTGAGCACTAGGGAGATTCGGAAACAGATTCTGAAGTAGTAACGAAACGTCGAAGGGAAATTTACAAGATCCCTGAAGCAGCGGGAGGTGTCTGTTTGTGACAGGTCTCGTATTCTCTAATACGATTGAAAATAAGCTCTGTGTGTGTGTGTGCGCGCGTGTGTGTGTGTGTGTGTGCTGCTCTCATAAGCTCGCCTTCAGACATGTATCATAGTCAGTCAGTCAGTCTGGAATGCATACTCGTGATGTCCACTGTGAGGAGCGAAGTGAATAACGGACCAACCTACGCCGTGAGTTCCGATCAAGTGGACCTTGTTGTGTGTTCGAGGCTGTGGTAACGGGAAATCACACACACGGCTTCCCCCTCCTACAGGTCAAGGTGAAACCTAACATCACCGACCAAACCTGCTCTTCAGGTGTGAACAGCAGTTCATTTCATGGAATTGACTGCGACCCGATTGAGTCACCCAGGTGATTTATTCAAAAGTGACGCGCCTAATTCACTTTTTTTTTTCTAATTCTAACTCTATGGAGCTGAGCCGTTGTTAAGAAACTTCAGTCGCGCAGCTACTCAAGAACTTCACAGCATTCTATGGAACTGCAACGTTCGTTACCGTGTTCACAAGAGCCCTCCACTCGTACCTATCCTGAGCCAGATCAGTCAAGTCTATACCGCCCCATCCTATCTCTTTAAGGTCTATTTTAATGTTATCCTCCCATATAATTCTAAAGTTTCCTGGTAGTCTCTTTTTCTGACTTAGCACTAAATCCCTATACGCACTCAGGTTCCCCCCCATGCGTGCTACATGCCCTGTCCATCCTCTTTAACCGTTCTTCTGCACCCTCCTTGGTGATGTGGACGTTACGTTGTCTTAAAACCACGTCGAGGTGCCTTTTGGAGTAGGAAGGGAGTAATGTTCAGAGTTTGAGCGATAAGATTCTTCTTCACGGTCTCTTCGCTTGCGGATTTATATTTTTCCTTCTACCCTGAAGATGGAGGCGATACGTTCCTCCGAAACGTCGGTTAACACCACATATACACGGTGCCAAATCCCAGAAGACTGCTTTCTTCATAGTCACCGCCGTGAAAGCCTCAAATCTTACATTCTGGAAGTTTCTTTTAATCAGACTGCTGCTCATGTTACCACCGATTGTCATGGACCTTTCTAGTAGTCCTTATTGAAACGTTCCTTGCCGCAAATTTTTTGAATTGTTAATGCAAAACTGATTAAATCACATTTAGTATACAATTGGTATTAAGTAACAAGCGCTAATATTTAAGAATTAAGCCGGTAGATAATGATCGGTTACACATCCTTGACTTGGTAATTCTAATTTTACTTGGAGAAGAGTACAAGTTATGAAGCTCCTCATTATGAAGTTTACTCCAACCTCCTGTCACTTCATCTCTCTTCGGTCCAAATAGTCTCCTCGCCCTGTTCTGAAACACCCTCAGTCTGTGTTCCTCCTTTAATGTCAGAAACCAAATTTCACATCCATACAGAACGATAGACAAAAATTTAGATTTGTGTATTCTAATTTTTACGTTTTTAGACAGCACATGAGAATTACCTTTATTTTCTGAATCCTGTTGTGTACAGGTGTCCCAAAAAATGTACTAACCCTTTTAATGATACCAAATGCAATGTTCTTTAAAATAGATATAAGGTTAATGATTTAAATTGAAGAGAACAAGTCTACTGCACCAAATGTTCGCAAGTGTTCAAACTGATGACCATCATTATCCACACAGAGCTGATAACGTGGAACAATGGAGTCACAAACTGTACTAAGCTTTTCATTTGGAATTTGAAGACATTGTCTTTCAATTTCCTCTTTCAACTGATGGACTGTTGCTGGTTTTGCGTCATAAACCTTATCTTTGAGGTATCCCCATAAAAAGTTCATGAGTGTGACGTCCGGTGAACGCACAGGGTATTCAACGCTACCCCTTCGCCCAATCCATCTGTCCGGCAAAGTTGTATCGAGATAGGCCCTTACTTCACGATGGTAGTGTGGAGGTGCTCCATCTGGTTGGAGGTAAATCTCTGCGTCACCAAACATCTCTTCAGTGCGTGGCCCGACGCCCGAGTGAGTACATTTCTTATGGGACATCCTGTATTATGTACGAGTATCCAAGGTATATACTTAGGGGCCGTAAACGCAACAGTTGATTATAAACCAATTTTAACATTTTAATATTCGGGTTATTTTATTTTCATTCCACTGCGCGTTTCGAGATATCAAGACCATCATCAGGTGGTTTTATGAGTTACATATGAATTATTCAAATGGATCCATTTTTACATTTATCAGTAATATTATAATCAAAAATTCAAGTTTAAGTTTTTATGTGGGATATGTCTGGAATAATGTATTGTGGCGTATAGACCCGTTGTTAGGCAAAAACCTCGAAATAACAGCCGCTGCTATGTAACAGCGCGGTAAACGGCGTTATGCAACCCTTTGCTAGGTAACTGCAACAGTGAAAACGGAGGTGTTTTCTGTGTAGTCCGTTCCGAGGAGTTACCTTGAAGAAAGATGGGGCGATGCAGTTAGTTGGTAGTTGTCAGTTGAAAGTCAGGCGGTGAAGAGAAGACAGGGAAGCTAGTCTGAAATATCAAGGAGTTAGTTAACAATAGTTGTTTGTTGGCAGCTGTCAGTCGAGAGTTAAATTCTGCACGGGATGCTGTGAAGATAGGACCTGAGGCTGAAAAAATCTCCACTGTTAAATCCGTCACTAGGGAACGGCTGATGAAGACACAGCAGGTTATAAAAATGCTTAGCGGGTGCCATGGTGATTTATAAAGCGTAGCGGTTAGCGATAGCGCTGTAATTACATGTAGTTCCGAGTGGTGTGTATAAGTTGTCAATAAATCCGTTCACAAATCCGTACTCCGTCTGTAGTCACACACACCACATACTACGTGACAGTATGCTCAAATTCAAACGTGTTATAAGTTAAAAAACCTAATAGTTAAAATCAGATAGAAATGGAATTTGATTTTTTAAGTATTTGAAATAGGGAGTTGGAGTATTTGTTATTATGTAGTGTAGATGAGTTTCGTGGTTTTGATGTTTATTAAGCACGCGAAAATCTGGAAAATAAATATGAATTTAATATGTGTTTTAAATATTATAAATTATGTGCTTGTGTTTTGTAGTTACTTAGTTCTTACTTTACAAGTCCCGATGAGGTCATTGGATTTTTTCAATTGAACTAATCCTTCCAACCGCA